TCCCATCATTAGAAAATTCTTTTCTTATATTGAGTGAAATTTGTTTCCTTGCAACTTCCATACATTACCTTGGTTTTGTCTTCTATAATATAAGCAAACTTAGTCTTTCTTATTTATTTGGTTCTTTTCAATATGTGAGGACAGTAATATAAACTTTTTCTTTAAAAGAATCTTCTTTTCTGCCAATGAAACAGTTACTTCCTTCAACTAACTTACTTCTCAAATAAGGTGACTTCCACAACTGTGCTTGTCTTGGGCATTCTGTTACAGATGTAACAGCTAGCTCACAGATTTGTCTCTCCCATGCCCCTGCTCCCTAAGGTCGAGGACTCTGCCTCTTGTTTACCACCATGTTACTGGTGTCTAATGTGATTCCTGTAGGTACTCAATAAACGTGAATTGAATTAATGAGACTACAAAGTATAGTACTTGGAAATAACGTACACTGGTTGCCGATAAACAATTTCAATATTCTATCTTAAGCTTCCCTATACTTTCCACATTTTTTACAATGGGAAGGTATTGCTTTTGTCATCTGAAAAGTAAAACAACAGCACAACCGTATTTTTTCACGTGTTGTACAAGACTGGATATGATATTTCAGATATAATTGACTAATGCAGACCCTTGTGGAGTTATTACTTTCCTTGTACTCTTGCTGTACTACTTCTGTAGCTGTTTAGTGTTGCCTTAACCTTTTCCAACATGGCTCATTCAAAACATTTGATTTGTGTCTGTTTTGTACAAACCACCCTGATAGGTCTCAGGCAGCTTGCTCTGCCGCTATCTTGAGTGGAGCTTGCGGTTGTCATACCTGTAGGTATTTTGCATGAGGGAGGAAGTGTGGGGAAAACACAATCATCTCTATTGGTCAAGTTATCCTCATCCTCAGATTGTGAGTTCCTTCAAGTGGAGCTCTTTTTTCTTGGTCACTTTTGAACTGTGTGCTTGTCACAGAGTCTTCAAGAGATGAATGCATCTTGAACATCAAGTAATCTTACTCAATTTTCTGTCCTTTGAAAATAGAATATGCTTCTTGACAAATAAAACTGAGTGCAGCACTTTTCTAACACCTATGAACACTGTAACATCTTCCTACACCAGGAAGGTGATCATAAACTTATGCTTTCTTCTTTCTACTGGTATTTAAAAATAACTTCCCCACATGGAAAATATGAAATAAAAGCTTCAAGAGGGCAAATATCATTTTCCCAGAGTTTGGCACACAGCCTAGAACTGTGCCTAGTATTTATTTAATGCATTATAATAGCTAATATTTGCAGCAAGCCATCTACACAGAGCCCTTTACTTGCATTTTTTCATTGAATATTCTCAGTAACATAACAGATATTATTTTACCTAAAGGGGTTCTACTATTTGATCCATTTTATTGATGAGAAAACTGGCTTAGAGTAATTAAGTAGGTTATGGACATCAGATGCCCAGTGAGTAGTCATTTGAGCCAGGATGTGAATCCAGAATCTCAATATCAGGAGGTGACTTCTTACCCACATGCTTCAGTAGTATCTTAGGTAATTGAATGACTAAAACACTTTATATCATTCTGGACTATGACCTTCCTAGTACCATTTATACTGTCCATTTCTGCTTATTTACCTTGACTTCTAACTTTTTACCTTCAGGAATGAGTTCAGTACATTCCAGGAATGACAGGAAGGCCAGTGTGGCTAGAGCATCAAGAACAAAAAGGAGATGTGTGGGGGATGGGATTGGAGAGAAACATGAGGGCCAGAGCACAGAACCTTTGGAGAACTTTGAATTTTATGTAAGCAAAATTGAAAGTCACTGGAGGCTTTTTAAGTTAGATCTAATTGGATTTAAACATTGTGTTTGCTGTTGTAGATGGGGAGTAGTTGGGGCAAGAGGAGAGAATGGAGAGTTGGTGCGGCCACAGTAAGGATGATGAAAGTGCATGGAATTAGAATGCATTTTGCAGGTAGAGGGCTTAATAGATGTTTGTTGAATTAATGAGTCTGTGATGTGTATAAAACACTCAGCAAGTGTTGGTGTGTAGTTATTGGTGTATAGTAAGTTCCCAGTCAGTGGTGGTGGTGATTATAATCATCATTATCCCTCCACTTCTGACAGATGACATGACAGTATTAACAGTCATGACTGATCAACTTCCTACTCTGTACTTTATCCTTGTTCCTTTAGCCCTTGCTTCTTACTCTACAGAAGCTACTCTCTTAACATCACACCCAAACTGTTGAAATCAGTGTAATTTTATTTTTCTTTCCCTGATACCTCCCTGAGTCTGACTTCCTGCCCCTTGAAAGGCCTTGACACCTGGAATGATATACTCTTCTAATTCTTCTTGCACATCTCTTGGGGTTCTTTCTCTGTGGCTCCTTTTTCTCCTCCTGCCCTCTCAGAATAGAGGTTATCCAAGAATCTGATCTTAAGACCTTCATTCTTATATGCCAGGTCCAGAAGACCAAATCCTCATCTCTGACCCTATTTCAAGGTTAGTTCTTCATTTCCAGTTGATACCTTTTTCTTCCAAAGTCATGACTTAAAACTAGAAGAAGGGAGGGAACTTCATCTGTGTCCTTCAGTTTGCCACTGAACTTTATAAAATATATATAATTGGAAACCTAGGGAGGCATGCAAAACATAATTTATCAAGGATAGATTCTTTTAGAGAACTAAATTTCTGTTGAGGGAATTAGGAAAGAGTTTTCAATTTGGCCTAAAATATCCATTCCTAAAATTAATCTTATATGTGCTTTTTTTGGGCTAGCCTATATGATATTCATTTTTACATCTTGAATAATTCATGTACCACTGACCAGCACAATAAAATATCTCATTTTAAGCATCTATCTACATTTCCTAACTCAGCTCTCAATTCTAATTACTGTACTACTCACTTTCTGTTTTTCGATGGGAAGAGGAATCCTACATAGAACTGAACAACAGATAATGAACTCCATTAAGTGGGGCTGACTGAGTGAGGCTTACTAAGAAGATTTAAGCACAAATTGAATTTTCTTTCTTGAGTTAGACATTTCATAAACTCTTAAATGGGCAAAAGTTTATGCATAGATTTGGCAGACTTTGAGGTGGGGGACATACACTACTATCTTCCTTTCTAATCTCAGGGGCTCTCTGTGATCCCTTCCTATTGGATCCTGGCACACACTTCTTTTCTAAACTATGTTGTTCCTAATTAAGATGGGTTTTGGAAAAGGGAAAGGGAAGAGCTGGTTGGGTGGCTTCCCCATTCTCTTGTAGGCTAGCACATGTTCTTCTAGTACCATGGGGCAAAAATTCTGCTATATTTAATGATTTGGGAGATTCTCAGAGCATTTCTTTTTTTTTTTTTTTAATTTTTTTTTCAACGTTTTTATTTATTTTTGGGACAGAGAGAGACAGAGCATGAACGGGGGAGGGTCAGAGAGAGAGGGAGACACAGAATCGGAAACAGGCTCCAGGCTCTGAGCCATCAGCCCAGAGCCTGACGCGGGGCTCGAACTCACGGACCGCGAGATCGTGACCTGGCTGAAGTCGGACGCCTAACCGACTGCGCCACCCAGGCGCCCCTCTCAGAGCATTTCTGAGAGACTCTTAGGGGATATAAAATACAGAGCTTTGCTGGAGAGAAGCAGGGAGAAGGGAAGCTATTCTTGTAGTCTACTCTTCAGATTTCTGCTTTGGACACAAATTTCAGGTTCCAGGCTGAAAACCTTGCAGTAGATGAGGGGATCAGGCAACTTTTGGGTTTCTCCAAAAGCATACAGGCTGTACACAGTGGAGGCCTATAAAGGAGTATCCCCCATGGCATCTGGATCAGGGCCTCACACATATTGAACCCTTCATCATGGTGGAATAAATGAGCAAATGGGAAATGGCTCTTTTTACTTTGATTTTCAGAAACATTGAGGATGTCAATGCTTACTGGTCCTGAGTTGATTTGTATTATAGTCAATAATTAGAAAGTGATGGAATTGGAAGGAACAAGACTGCACTTTTTTCTTCTATCTCAATTGACAAGATATTCAAAATGCTCCATTATAAGAATTCCTAGCTTCCAATGTCCTCTCTATTAGATCCTTCCATGAGAAAAAGTAACTGTTTAATGTTGTTTTTTCTTTTTATCCCCATTTCCTATTCCTATCCCCCTACCTGCTCTTCAGTTTATAACGATGTTCATATTTTCTGTGATCTTTTTGCTTCTATATTTTATAAAATATGAGTTATGTTGTGTGCATTAATTATAATTTACATGGTATTGAGCTACACTGTTATTATTATTATTTTAACTCTTTTTCTGTGAAGACTATAATTTACCAGCTAGCTGGGTAAATATCCAATCCATAATCTTTAAAATTAAAAAAAATTTTTTTAAATGTTTATTTACATTTGAGAGAGAGAGAGAGAGAGCGAGCGAGCCTGAGCAGGGGAGGGGCACAGAGAGAGAGAGAGGGAGACATAGAATCCAAAGCAGGCTTCAGGCTCTGAGCTGTCAGCACAGAACCCAATGTGGGGCTTGAACTCATAAACCTTGAGATTATGACCTGAGCCAAAGTCGGACGCTTAACCGACTCACCCACCCAGGCACCCCTCAGTCCCTAACTTTTAATGCTACCCGGTCCTCTATGGGGGACATCCATCACATTTGATCTATTCACTCCTCAGTAGGATCCTCAGATTGCCTATGATTTCCTGCTCCAAAAGTGGTATTGTGGCAAACATGCTGGTACCTTTCACTCTCCTGATGTATATGATAATTTTGCGGAGCATACATACTCAGAAGTGGGATTAATAAGGCATACGTGCAAAATTGTATATTTAACTTAACTGCAGCCACTTTCTCTCCAGAACGCGTCCCTAGTCTGTCTTCCCAAGCAGTTATGAAAGCTCCTTATGCTCTGTGTTTCTGACAGCTTGGAATTATCCAGCTCTGCACTTTTTGCTGGTCTACTGGATAAAAAGTGATATTCCATTATTGCTTTAACTTAGGTTTTAAAACTGAGTATGTTTTTACTAATGTCTCTTTTTATATGTTGACTTTTTGTGTTTCACCTTCTGTAAATTGTTTTCTTTGCTTATTCTCTGTTAGGGTTTCTGTATTTTCCTTGTTGAGTACAGGAAACTCTTGTCATTTTTAGATATTACAATACCTTTTCCAAATCTGTCATGTCTCTGTTAACTTGGTCCATGACATGTTTTGTTGAAAAAAATCTTTAATTTTTGTAAAATGAAATTAATGTTTTTGGCCTAACATTTTATACCCTTGGGGTAAAGAGCTTTATTAAAGTTTTATTAAGGTAATATTTTTATGACAATAAAAAGGGACAGAGAAAGTGTTTTTTGATAGTTTTATGTCAAACAACATTTCTGCAGAGTTGAACATGAATGTCTTCTAATAGCACTAGGATTCTGCATTACTATGAGTAACTGAAGGTTTCTGTAGACCTAGGTAGACAATGAGGTTTGCTTGTGGCATGTGTGTTAAAGAGCTCTCATACCTAAGTGGAGAGGCTTTTTGAAGAAGAATCTTATTCCCGGCAAACTCTAGCTATTTGGCTCAGGGTTTTCTGGCAAAGAAGCTTGGACCTGCCCAGGAGCTGAAGAATTTAAATGCCATTTTGTCCTCCATTCATCCTCCACTGAGAAACTTTTTCTAATCAATTCTTTTTAAAAATAAATGAGAGAAAGACTGTACTTTGAAGCCACAATGGTTTATAATTATTAAGTTTTTTATTTTCCTTTTTTTGACCAATTATTGTGGACTAAATATTTGCATCTTTCCCTCTCCAAATTAATATGTTGAAATCCTAACCCCCAATACGATAGTATTATTAGGAGGCAGGGTCTTTGGGAGGTAGTTAGGTCATAGAAGTGGAGCCCTTATGAATGGGATTAGTTCCTTATAAAAGAAACCCTAGAAAGCTTTCTCTTGCCCTCCCCATCATGTGAGTGTATAACCAGAAAATGACTATCCACAATCCACAAGAGAATTTTCACCAGATCCTGACCATGCTGGCACCCTGATCTTGGAGTTACAGCTCCCCAGGCTATGGCATTCTAAGCCTGAACTGAGTAAAATACCAGTCATTACAATTAGTGAGAAAGATGTAGCTTGGTCCCCAAGACACTAGATAGTGAATAAGTTCAAGCTTTACTCATAGTTGCAATGCATTTGGAGGTGTAGTAGATTGAGTCATGACCTCCCCAAATTTATATCCACTTGGAATCTCAGAATGTGACCTTATTTAAAAATAGGACCCCCGTATATATGTAATCAGTTAAAGTTCTTCAGATGAAATAGCCCTGGATTCAGGGTGGGCCCTGGACCCAATTATTTCAGGAGAGGAGAGGACACAGAGATACACATAAGGAAGGAGGCCAACTGAAGATGGAAGTAGAGATTGGAGTTACGTGGCTGCAAGTCACTGAATTCCAGGAGCCTCCAAATGCTGGACAAAAAGGAAAGATTCTTCTCTTGAGGCTTCAGAGAGAGCATGGACCTGCTGAAATCTTGAGTTTGAACATCAGGCCTCTATAAACGTTTCTATACGTTTATACCACTTAGTGGTATAAACCACTAAGTCTGTGGTAGGTTGTAACATCAGCCTTAGGAAGTTAGTGCAGGTGGAGTGATGATATGTCTGTTTTTCAGGTTGCAGATGTCCAGTGGTTACTGGTACCTGGAGGATCAGGTCCAGAATGAGGAGACTGGAAAGACCTCTGGGGAACCTTCCTGCTAAGAAAGTTGTTTTTATTAGTTATTGTCACTCAGAAAGTTGCCTGGTTTGATGTAAAGACTCTGACACTCAAGGTCAGTCCAAATAATGGACTAATTTTCCACCCTATAAATCTGAGACTATTGCCATGACAACTCAAGTTTCACCTCATGCTCCAGGCATTCCATGTGGCAGATAATCTCCAGTATCCTCTCTTCATAGAAACCCTTCCTTTCCCTTAATCTTAGGGGCATGTAAATGGGCAATGGAGGTGAGGAGGGGAAGAGTCAGGGGGATAAGCCTCACCTGAATCTTGGTGAGAGGGTTTATCCAGCAGAGGCCCCATGAACACCATTAATTTATGCAGTAGTTCTTTGTTGAGAGGTTTGTGTATGCCAGGCACTGGAGAGGCACTGGAGAGAGCTGACTTCTGGCTTGATGTTCTTCTCAGGTTTTCTCCTCAGATCCATGTGATTGATGTGAATGATTGCTAAGCATTTCTAAGGTTGAATCTTCTCTATGTGAGGTGTCTCTGTACAAAATGATGCCCTGGGCTTTGGTGATAGCCCGATGCTTCCTTTCTGTGACCTCAACAAACCATGCTCTGAATCTAATCTTTTCACTCCTTTTTGTGGCCTTTTGGGTGTGTGGGGCTCATCTGTCCCCATGGCATACAGCTTTCTGTCTCTCATGTCACAACCTCAGGTGAGGGGAAGTTACAGACCTTTGAGAGCCAGCTGAATTTTAATATTTTCCACCCAGTGTCTAGGCTAGGTACCTCTATCTCCTTGATTCGTCTCTATGGTAACAAGATTCTCTTGGAACCTGACAATAATGTCTCAGGATTATAAACTCTAACACATTACTGTATACTTTAGGAGTTTTTTCTTGGCCACCACTCTCAAGGTTATTTCTAACTCTTTGGCAAAGATGCAGACACCAGAAGGATATTGCTGTTACTGAGAGACAAGTGTGCCAAAAAGTAGAAACTGCAGCATTATGGGAGGCAAAGCAGATATGACTTAATTAGATACATATAAGTAAAGAGGGGAAATTGAGATATTCACTGTCCAGGAGAGGAAACTCATAGTGGGGGAGCAGTGAATGTGAGGAAAATATTTTATTACTGGATGAATGATCTCAGCTGAAAAAGTCTGGGTGGCATTGAGCTGGCTTGGATACCTCCAGGCTTGGGTGAGCCCAATGCTAAGGGTATTACAGGGATGTTCAGTCACACAGACTGGGTCTCCAAATAGGCCTTTCAGAGTCACATTCCATTTGTGGAGAGTAGATCTTGGGTCCTGTTCGTCTCGGGTTTTCTCTTCAGATCCATGTGATCCATATGAGTGATTGCCAAGCATCTTTAAGTTTGCCTCTTCTCTACATGAGGTGCCTCTTTGTACAAAACGTCCTGGGCTTTGGTTCATCCACTGTCAGGTCCTTTAGATGTGGTGGGAGGAGGAGTTGGTCAGTGTTCTGAAGGGGCTGTATGGAGGCTCAAGAAGACTGATCCTCAGACATCATAGTGGCATGGGAGGCTCATTGCCAGCCTTTGCTCAGTAACTGCATCTGTAGGAATTTTTCATTTCAGTCTTGGTTCTTGGAGCTAACTTTATTTCAGCTTATTGGAAAGCCCACTATTGATTCAGATTACCAAGCTCCACCTGACATTTAGACCTCTTCACAATCTGACCTTTCTCTTCTTTTTTAAGCTTAATTCTCACTGCATTTCTCCATGTACCTGTCATCAGTCACAATCATTCCTTCACCATTTCCCATATGTGGCCTTCAGTCAACTGATGCTAACCCATTGCTCAAACTATTCCTTTTATGTAGAATGCCTTCTCTTAATTAATGCCTATGGAAGTCCTACACATTCTTTACATCTCAGCTCAAATCACCACCCTTCCCAGATTCTCCTGGGGGATTTAATATCTTCCCTCTCTCCTTTCCCCTTCTTCCCAAACATTGAACGTCTGTTACATAATGTATCACATTTTTGTCCCATGCTGAAGTTATTTTACATACATTTCTGGTTTCTTGTCCAGGTTGGAAGTATCATTTTTTTGTGTGTGTTAAATCTGTATAACTCTGTTATACCTAAGACAGTGCTTTGCATGTAGAGACACTCAATTAAGTTTGTTGAACTGAACTCTCTAAAGTTGAGGTAAATCACAGATGTGATTCCATATTGAATGTAGAAGACTGAATGGATTTTCAACACTTAAAAATACTTCATTAACGCTTGGTACAACATCCCACAAATCTTCAGATTCTTTTTCTTGGCTCAGCTCCACTTCCTGACCACAGTCTTTGGCTTCAGGTCTTCCTTCAGTTTCTGAAGGGCCCCAGGCACACCCTTCATGGGATCCTGGTTGAGCTTGCTGTGCTGGGCTGCATGGCTCACTTAGTAGCCCAGAAGGTGTCCACACTCCTGCAGGCCCTACCTGCTCCTGAAAATCCTTGCTATTAGGCTCTGTCTTCCAAGCTGATTCCTCTGTCTCTAATCCCCTTACCAATGTATCCCAGAGTATCAGATCCAGGGGTGTATAATGGTTAAAAACATGGACTCTGGTCTACTGTTTTTTTGGGCTCAAATTCAGACTCTACCACCTACTATGTGTTATCTTGGCATGGATACTTAACACTGCCAAAGAAACTTCTCCCATGGTAAAATAGAAATCATAACATAGCAACTCATAGAATTCTCCTGAGGATTAGAGGAGATGCATGTAAGCACTTAGAGCCTGAAACATAGTCAGATAGGCTCTAAGTGGCTCCTATTCTTGTCCCTTTTTCTATATATTTTTTTGCAAGTATTGTTTGGCACTCTTCTCTATATGCCCTATAAACACCACTTACCGTATCCCTCTACAAGATCCCCAATCAGAGATACTTTATATGTATTTGAAAGATAAAGATAATTCTATATCTTCCTCTGAGTAATCCCTATCTTCCCCCCCCCTTTTTGTTTTCAATATCGCTAATATACAAGGCCTTTCATTTCTATTTTTATCTAGAAACTAATACCCTCATTGTGGAGCTATTCCCTCAATTTTACACTAACTTTTATGGGGAAAGATGTTTTATTATTGTTCTCTGGTATAAAAGAGCAGAGATATAAATTAGGCATCAAGAACAACCCTGTTCCCACAGTACACCAAAAAAAACCCCAAGCAAATCATAAACCTGTAATGCACTTGGGTTAGTAGAGATGAGCCTCTGAAACTGAAATTCCCCTTGTGCTTAAAAACCTTCACAAATGTTAAATGAGTAAACTCTTAGAGCAGTTCTTTCA